TAGGGTTTGGCTCTAGTACGGAGACAAGAGTCCTCTAAGTCTTAAGTGCGCACTAGGTAGTACCTTGTGGGTCGTAATTGCCCGAAATAACTTATGCATGTGCGCACTAGGTAGTGCCTTGTGGGTCGTAATTACCCGGAAACACTTGCTTGGTCTAGTGACCACATGTCCAAGTCTTTCTACTTTGATTTTGCATTTAATTTCAAGTTGTTAATCATGGATTAGTTGTAACTTGAGAATTGGTGTTTGCCTATGTATTTTGATCTCATTTAATATACTTGAAACTGTATACTTGAACTTGTATCCTTATTGGTGTATATAAACTCTATCTAGTGTATTTACACTTAGTATGCTTGTCTTGTGTGTGCAGATTTCATTTTTATGTACTTGTGCCATGTATACTTATCTTGTGCGTATGTGTTTAACTTAGTATACTTGTGTTTGTATACTTGATTTATGAGTACTCTATACATACATCTTATACTTGTGTATGTATCCTAGATATTGCTTATCCCGTTTAACATGATTTAGTATACTTGTGAGCATGTGTACTTGAATGTCATGTATCATGTTTTAATACGTTTTGGTGTACTTAAGCGTGTATACTTGTATGTCGTAGTTCATCTCAATTGCATGAGTAGCTTAGGATGATCCGTGAGTCTCACTTTGACATAGACATTAAGTGGCATGAGCCCCTCTAATATGTTTCACCTCAAGGTGATAGAATTATAAAATACTAAGTCGATGCATACTTATCTCCTACAAGTAGCTTTATGTTACTCACCCACGTAGTGGAGACATTTTTCAGGTACCGGGATCAAGATTCGGGATTCACATCATGCTTGGATGATTTGTGGACTTGAAGTTCTCATTTCTTGTAAATGTTGGCTTGAAATGCCATTTATTGTTTTATATGTCAAAATGTGTAAATTTGATTCTATTTTTGTAATGTGTACATAAGTACACTCTTTACAATGTATTTGATATGTATGAGATGAGGCCGGAAGCAATGACATGTATCTTACTTTCTATGCACTTTCGTTTTCAAGGCTTAATATGAAAATGTTGAAAAATGCTTAGACATTGTGTCATAACTTTTGCATCGGGTGTGGAAATTTCATTTTTATTCTTTCGTAAGGTCTCATTAATCATGTATGAAGTATGGCCAAGGGCCAAACTATAATTTGAAATCATTTGTTAATTTTGGTTTTCAAATTTCCCAATTCTTGTGCATTTTCGCCTTTTTGGCCGTTGGGGGGTCGGATTTTGCATCGGGTCTTCTCGGGAGCCGCGGACCATTCCCGTACGCTTAAAAACACTAAATACACACGTGCACATTCGTTTCAACCTATAAATGCATTTAGGGCAAAATGCATACTTGGTGCAAAGTTGCATTTTTTTGAGTTTTTAACCCCTTACTGAGCTAGGGGCATTTTGGCATTTTACAATGAGTTTTTTTTGAATTCTCTCACAAGTCATGTAGAAAACTCAATTTTAAGGGGGGTTTCTTGTTTGTGTTTTTCCAGAAAAATTCATCTACTAGCTCGTTTTTACTCTCTGTTCTAGCTGTTTCTGGAAAAAAAAATGCTTGTAGCAGCTTTTTGGGTCCCTCTTGACCTACTCTGTTCTAGGGGCATTTTAGGGATTTATAGCGTATTTTTTTTCATTTCTTCCACGTAAATGGGCAGGACACATGATTTTAAGGGGGGTTTTTTCTTCATGTTTTTGCAAAAAAATTCGTTTAAGGGTCCGTTTCTAGCATCTTGCTTTCTGTCAAAACACTATTCCTGCCCAGATTTTTGTACCCAGAAAAGTTAGTTTTTTTTTAAACTTTGAGGCTTCATATCTCCTTCGTCCCGACTCCAAATCAAGTGATTTTTGAGTCTAAGTTTATTAAATTTTGCTTGTCTATCCAACGGTATGAATGGTTGTATCCAATTCTATCTGGAAAGACCATTTTACCCCTTGCAAAGTACCCTTACCACATTGATTTGAACCCAGAAGTCTATTTTTTTAAAACTTTGAGGCTTTATATCTTCTTTGCCTGGACTCCGAATCAAGTGATTCTTGAGTCTAGATTTATTAAATTTTCCTTGTATATCTAATGATATACTCAGTTGCATCTAGTTTTGTCTTAAAAGACCATTTTACCCCTTGTAAAGTACCCTTGCCGCATTGATTTTAAAGCCAAAAGTTTGATTTTATGAAACTTTGGAGTTTCATATCTTCTTCATCCGAACTCTGAATCAAGTGATTCTTGAGTCCATCTTGATTAGTTTTTCGTTGTCCTTCTAGCGGTGTGCTCGGTGGCACCCTAGTCCATAGTTTTCAAAAATGACTATTTTGCCCCTGGGGGCTTATTTGTCATATTTTTGGTCTTTTGCTTCCGCACCAGTTCTCATTGAGTTCCACGACCTCATGGAAGGTCACGTTGACTTCTTAGAGTCTTGTTTTCTGTTTTCGCTTCTGGATTTCGGATCCATTATCTGATCGAACTACGGTTCATCATAGGATGCGCTAGCTTGAAAAACCAAGGCCGTCATAGTTTTGGGCATAAGAAATTCCTTCATTTATTAAAAATATAAACATTAGTACTTAAGTCAACCTATCATGTATTAGAAGAAATATCAATAAGTGATTCGAAATATACAAAAGTCAAAAGAGTTACCTTTCTTTTCGAATTATTCTTTATGTTCCATGTAATCTTTCTAAAAGTGTTTAATACATAAATGACACTTTTGTATTATTACGTTCCTTTCTTTTAGTAGATTGACCTAAATCTTTTAATTTTAGGTGTTGCTCACTTAATGCCTTTTCAGTCTTATTCCCAAATTCTTGTCTAATTTCTTGTGTCATTAGATGAACATAATGATTACCATGCTACTTAAGCCTAGTTTAATCCTAAATTAACATAATGGTCAATTATTTCACTTTTCACTTGTCTTAATAATATTAATTCGAAATGACTCATACTGAGTAAACAAGAAATTGAGAATAAATTGAATAAGAAAATTCTCATCTACAATCATCCTTAAGGTTCTCAATTTTGTAGAAACATTAGTCATCTCAAAATTATGTTCATACATGGTACAAGTAACAAAAAAAAAAATGCATAGTAGTGATATTAATTAATAATTTTCATTTTAGATATTTATCTACAATACGGAAACATTCTTTTAGTCAAATATTCCTTATGCATATATTGTGGAGTTTGATGTATATACAAGTTGGTAAGGGATAAGAGATTATATGGTCACACGTAGAAATACATTTTTATGAATATATGGATAATAATTAATCTATAATTGGTTATTTGTTTCTTTTGGTTGGAGGAACAATATTATGAAAAAGTGCAAATTAATTTTTTATTACTTTGTCTATTATGAATTTTTAATTTGTAGCATGTTTTATGGCTACAATTTATAATTGCCGAATTTATTTCAAGACTTGGAGTTATGGGTACCATTTTCAGATTGCTGAAAATTTATACTGCAATTGTTAATTTTCATGTATGAAAAATGATAGGTACTCTAAAGTTGAAATACTTTATCATTAAAGAAGATATTTAGAAACAATAAATGTCTATTGAACATATAAGCACACAACTTATGAGTGTAGTCCATTAACGAATGAACTACCACTCAAGACATTTATGTAACATGTTGAAAGAATGGGTCTTGAATGTAGTCAACAATGATTATTTTTAATTATGGATTGCTTAAAGGTGCTTATATATATTTGACATTTTGCACTCATTAAATGTGTTTATGATATTTCCTATTAATTAATGTACATGTACGTATTGCTTTAATAAGTGGTAATAGGAATAGTCTTTGAAAAGACATTATTATTAGATCATTATTGATACTTCTCATTTATAGACTATGTTGAATAGGTTACTAGTGTTGTGGTACATGGAAGGAACTGTATCATTTAGTGATATACAACCGCCATGACTCGCATTGGTAATTTATTTACCATGTTATTTATAATGACTAACTTAATTAGTCAATCTAATTTATGGTACATACTAATGACTATTTTACTAAACCACTACAGAAGTTATCATATCGGTCAAGTGGAAGACTGTAAGATATTTTCTTATATTTGTGGCCCACATGATTTGGACACGTGATTTACTTCTATTATTTGGTGGTTAAATAAAATAGATATCATATTAATATTATATTATTTAGTTAACTTATAAATTACCTTTTTGGTAATTAATTATTGGAGAAGTATTTTCCTATTTATTCTTTACTTTGATAGAAAGTGGAATTAAGGTTATTAAAAAGGAAAATTGGTCATCTCTTTGCCTTTATAAAGTGCATATTTTCCATTAGTTATGTACGCTAATGAACATGTATAATATTTATGTGTGCAAAAGGCCAAGGGAAAGAAATCAGTTTCCACATGCTTTGCTATTGTTTGTACTTGCAATTTGTCACGTTATTCCTTCCGTAAAAAGGATCTCGATATTTGGCTTGATCTCAACAAGATTTTCAATTACAGATCGAGGTATTTATATCTAACTACTTTATTTATGTATTATAATAATGTGAAGATAATGAAGTTCTAAGATCTTAAGATTCATATTTATTTGTAATTAATGGTTTTCACGAATAATTATAGTTTACAAATGTAGATATCTATCTATACTTTAAATGAACTAATGCCTCTAAGCATTATCATCTTAATATTTGCTCACTAAAAACTGAGTATAAGCATACATGAACAATAAATATAAAACACACACACATATATATATGATATAACCTAAATTAATTGAACTGTATATGAGTTTGGGTCTGGAGGAACAAAAACCTCAACACCTTCTTCAAGCATCTATGTGACTTTCTTCATTCAATCAATTTTATTATGAATGAACGAATACCTATAAGCACATCATCATAACATTTTCACACTGCAAAGAAAAAGGAAAAAAAAATAATAATACTTATCACAAGCATATATAAACAAACATGGCTATATGATAAGACTTAAATTGATGAACTCATATATGAGGATGGGTCTGGAGGAACAGAAACTTCAACAGCTCCTTCAAACATCTGTATGACTTTCTTCATGGTTGGCCTTAGTGACGGATCTTCCTGAATGCACCAAATCGCGATCATAACAAACTTCTCGAACCTCTTCATGTCATCCTTGGCCTCCTCATCATTTTCCACTAACAATTGAAGTTTCCCTTCTCCGTAGCAATCACAAGCCCAGTCAGACAATGTCATTTCATCTTCACACTCCCCGTTTGGTTCAACATTTCTTCGGCAGCAGATGAGCTCTAGCAGCAAGATACCGAAGCTGTAGACATCTACCTTGATTGTAGTAGGCATGTTCCTGAACCATTCAGGGACTACATACCCTTTTGTTCCCCTTATTCCAGTCGTCGTTCGAGACTGATCAATCTTCAGAAGCTTGGATAATCCAAAATCAGATATTTTCGCTGTGAAAGACTCGTCCAGAAGAACATTTTGAGGCATGATGTCACAGTGTATGATTTGGGTGCTACACTCATGGTGCAAGTAACACAGCCCTCTTGCAGTTCCGAAGGCAATCTGTATTCTTCTGTACCAATTAGGCCTTAAATTTTGGAACAGAAAGCTTGCCAAAGATCCATTGCTCATGAACTCATAGACCAATAGCCGGTGTTCCCCATCGTTGCAGTATCCAAGAAGTTGGACTAAATTCTTGTGATTAGTCCGGCTAATTGTGCTCATTTCGGCTTTGAATTCCTTCTCTCCTTCCCTCACCATCTTGTCTAACTTCTTGACAGCAACTATCTTCCCATTTTCATTCTCCAGGAACCCTTTGTACACTGTCCCTGAAGCACCACTACCAAGTTCTTCATTGAATTTATTGGTAGCATCTTCTAGCTCATTATAAGTGAAATTTCTTAGATTTAGGCCTGGCACTACAGAGTATGATTGAAGCGTCTTTGTTTTTCTTCTATTGAAGCCGAGCAAGACCAAACGGGTTGACAAAAGTAAAACAAAGTTCAGCAACATAGAGCTGCCCAATAGCACTGATCCAGAGATGATAAGAGTTGATTGATCTTTCTTCTTTTCCGGCCTTGCACCTGGAGATGTTCTTGTTGAATTCTATTTCCTGATTTTTATCATCACTTTTCCATCAACACTGGGACCATTCCTCCCATTTGAGAAGGGTTATTCTTCTTCCAATAATGACTAATCTCCACTATTTTAAACATAGCAATAGCACAAAAACAATCTCTCAAGCTCTTTTCTCTGCACCAGTCTTCACTATTTGATTGAAAATATTCATAATCAGAATCCGGCCAGTCTGTGTTGGTCATGTCCTCGAAGCCAAAAAGATCTGTTTCTTGTGATACTTCAGCATCACAATTTTGGGGAATGAAGTTTTGCTTGCATCTGCTCACTGCATTATTTGGGTTCAATAGGATGTATTCGGGCGGGTACTGTGATACCCCCGGATTCCCGAATGCAGGTTGGCCAGGCCCATGCCTGAATACCCGAGGATATCAAAACAAATTGATAATAAACGAACACAGAGTACAAAAAAATAAAGAAGAATAAATAAAATGCTGACAAGAAATTAAAATGATAATCTAATAATAAACCTCAGAATATATTTCCATTAATTAATAAACTCTTCTGATACAACTGATCCTCCAAAATACGACTCGGGAATCCATACTGTGTGGACCCCTAGAAAATCTAAACTAAACAAATGACAGCAATAACTGTCTAAATCAGGAAACTGAATCATAAAGGAACTCCTATGTAGCATCGGAAGAATGAAGTAGACTGATCCCCGCTCAGCACGAACAACCTCTACCCTGACGAACACCTGAAAAATAATGGTGGATCAGGCCCACAAACAAGTTTTACTCTACTACAGTCCAAGTAGAGATCCGATACATGTATACATCCTAGTCAATCCAACAGTAACTAGTAGTCCATATATATATATATATACACTAAAGGAACCTCACTAGACTATAGGGTTATCTCAACCTGCATAGTAGGCAACATGCAAAACGCACATATAGTGGGCATGAGTGCCTAGACCTACGAGGGTACACAACTACACTATATCTAGTTACACATCCCTGACAATATACGCACCCTAACCACTGATCCTGAGACTCAAGCTCATATCATGGCACCATACTTATATATTTATAATCTAGTAACCATCATATTCAGTATAAATTAATCCTCCATAAGTCATTCAACTTGTTCAGCTGACCTGACTTGAATATAAGTAGGACTTAACATTTTAGTTAATCCATTCCCTTATATAATAAATTAATCCTCCATAAGTCATTCAACTTGTTCAGCTGACCTGACTTGAATATAAGTAGGACTTAACATTTTAGTTAATCCATTCCCTTATATAAAATAGGTAGGACTTAACTGATAAGTTAATCCGTTCCTAAAATGCCACCGTCCCATACCGGTGCATTAAACCACACAATCCAACAATTAATGTAACGATTAAGGAAATACATCAAACAATTCAGAAATAACTATGATAATATGATATCAAGTTATCACAAAATAAGAATGACTTATTATTTATTTAAGCTTCCTATATCATATGTCCTACATAAACTGATTCTTATACATATGACGATATTTTATTATACCGTCAAATAAGTATTCTCTATATCCAATTCATCATACACATTTAATCTCAATTGCTAAAACATATTAAAAGATTAAATTCATTCGTTTGTTTAAAACATTCAAATAGCAAGCATCATTATGATTGAGTCTATTTAAATTTATTTAAACCCAAACCTAGTTCTTATTTAATGTTCAGGAATCCTAGACATGTTTCTACGTTCCATCATTCCACAGATATGAAAAATACATAATTTAAACATGTAAAAATTCACACCAGAAATCAAATCAAAACCATGCATTTATCAATTCATAATACAAGAACAAATATGAGCAAAATTCATAAAACCTATGTTCAAATCCAATTAAACATGCATAATTATTTAATTTTATGTGTTTAATAAATCCTGAGATTTCCTAGGCATGTACAGAAACACGAATCAAAGGGAAAGAGATAGAAGAAGAACTTGCCTTAAACTTTCGGATCGAAAGTTAAATTTCTTCTTCCTTGATTTTCTTACTACAGGATTTTTTTTTCCTCCTTCCTTTATTTTCCTTCTTCCCTCTCTAACTCTCTCTCTAGAATATATCACGTGAATATTTCTAACCCCCTTTTACAACCTATACTTATATATTTATAGGCTAAATAAAATAACCCTAACCCTTTTCCCAATCCAAGTCAACTTAAAAAAAAAAATTAAAATATAAAAAAGGTAAGTAAAATATGTTACGTATATAATATATGTATATCTTTATTAAATAAATAAATTATACACATCCCATTATTTATTAATGGATTATCCAATAATACTTTAGTTACTATAATATTATAAAGTAACTTAAAACATAGCACGTATCAAATCTATGTATATTTTTATTATTTAAATATAAAACATATTCATCAGATTAAATATTACTACCCAAGTTACCATAAAAGTAATTAATAAATTACTTTCCTTTTATATATATTAAAAAGGTAGGTAAAATATGTTAAGTATATAATTTATAAATATGTTTATTACATAAATAAATTATACACATTCCATTATTTATTAATGGATTATTTAATAATACCTAAGTTACCATAATATTATAAAGTAACTTAAAACATAACAAGTATGTATATTTTTATTATTTAAATATAAAACATATATATCAGATTAAATATTACTACCCAAGTTACCATAAAAGTAATCAATAAATTACGTTCCTTTTATATATATTAAAAAGGTAAATAAAATATGGTACGTATATAATTTATGTATATTAAAAAGGTAAGTAAAATATGTTACCTATATAATTTATGTATATGTTTATTAAATAAATAAATTATACATATTCCATTATTTATTAATGGATTATTCAATAATACTTAAGTTACCATAATATTATAAAGTAACTAAAAACATAACACGTATCAAATTTATATATATTTTTATTATTTAAATATAAAACATATACATCAGATTAAATATTACTACCCAAGTTACCATAAAAGAAATTGATAAATTACTTTCCTTTTTATATATGTATATAATATATATATATATATATATATACACACACCTACCTATATATATATATACACACCTACCTATGAGTAATAATTCATACCCATCCAACCTCCTATTCAAGTTGTCCATGGGACCTAATTGGTTGGCTCATTACTACTGACCAAAACCATAAAAGAAAAATTAAAAAAAATATATTTAATTTATAATTAATCAAGACACCATTTAAGCACGTAATCTAATTAAACAATTAACAAATAACACGTAGTCATATAATCAAATAATCAAGTAATACCTAATTCAATTAAACACACAAGCAATTAGTCAAATAAATAATTAATTAATTAAAAATACAATTAAAACAAATAAATAAATACCTAAACTATCTTTTTAAAATTAAGAATATTAAAAGCACCTGCATATTGGTCTCTGATCACCTCCTAATGTGCAGTAGCTGTTGAACCCGCAAGCCCCACCACCAGTATCTTGCCTGATGCTCGTGCATATGTCTTCAGGTATGGTAGAGGAAGGGGACCATTCCATACGCCTTCCACCAGTTGAGCCAGCAGATTTTGGGTAGACGTAATAGATGAGAACTCCATCATATTCAAGAACAGCTCGCTGGTAAAATTGGCTTGGTGAAATTGGATTTTCTAATACATAATTTAGTACGCTTCCATTACTTGCGGTGAGGTAGACGTAGCCAGATTGGTTGAAGATCACCTCCAAGCCACTGCCCGCAGTTGCGGTTGACCAATAAGCTTTATTAGTTGTATCCAGAGGAAAATTTGAGGTGGAAAGCACCAGATCTCCACTGGTTTGCAGCTCAAACTCGAATCTTCCACTTGAAAGATTTTTGTTAGAGAAGCTAGAGACGAGCTTTTTGCCTTGACTCAATCTTTTTGTTGGTAACATTGTGTCTGTTGGATTATCAAAACTCTGCCACAAAAAGGCAGAGTATTGGCAGAATTGTTACTCACTAGCACTGCCGAAAGCTGCAGACCATATATTATTGCCATTTGGGTCATCGAAAACAAACCTGCCATCTGTAGTGAATTGTTGTGATTGGCGGACCAAACTATGGTTTTTTCAGGTATTTTGTTGAACCAGATGGCTAGATGGAAACGTCCAGTTCCACTAATCTGCCGGAACCCAAAAGCAAAGTCGCCCGATGGTGATACCCATGAAGAGTTATCGTCAGGGGCAGTGAGTGATTCACCCAAAGTAACATTGCTGGTACGTGCAATTGTTAAGTATGGCAGTGAAAGTAGGATGAAATAGATAAGAGATGATACTGCAAAGGCCATGGTTTATTGAAATTGTTCAAGTATGGCAGCAATTAAAAATACTTGCATACTAGAATGAAACTTCAACATCGTCTTCATGTATGAATTTATTAAAGGAGTGACTTTTCTTCATCTGACTATTACGCAGAAGTTTCATTTCTCTGGCTGTGGAGTTTCAATTCACATTCATTTCAGTGATACTTTGACTACCGTGTCAAAGAAGTGCGGAGACTTCTGATATATCGAAGTAAAAGTACGTGCGGAGACTTTTAATATCATCTGATGGCGCGCATTTTCACACATATGTCAGTACCACACATTTAAGGCAGACGTGTCCAACACTCTTTGAGTGTAGACCTGGCGCGCATTTTCCATATTGGTGTCTAGAACTAGAAACACACGCACAAATTGGTGCTACACATTAAAGGCAGAAGAATAAAATAAAAAACCTTGTATGGTGATCTAACTTTTAACAGTATGGGCAGTATTAATATAAATTTCATTTGCTTTTAATTTAGTTGAGTTGTATTCCCCCTCATGCAATTTACAATTTGTTTTTTGATATTTAAAATTTTTTTAGTATGTAATTTTGAAAACAGTTCTTAAAAGTTTCGAAAAAAAAAAAGTATTTTTCAAAAACTATCAAAGAATTTTATCTAAATACAAGTTTTTTCATAATTGAGTTTTCAAAAAATTGAACTAAACAGAGTTTTTGAACAATTTTTTTATTTTTATTCTCTGAAAATCGAGAATTGTTTTCGGATTTACAAATAAAGAGGCCCTACATTTTTTAATTATTGTATTACTAAATCAATATTTAGACTAGATCAAGTTAATTTGGTATGTTCATGAACTTCAATTAAAAGGTAACTTTCTTGCTTAAAAATTCATTTTGCAATTTTAATCTTT